GGTGGTGGTGGTGTTGGTGGTGATGGTAGTGGTGTTGGTGGGATGGTGGTGTTGGTGGTGTTGGTGTTGGTGGTGATGGTGGTGGTGTTGGTGGTGGTGGTGGTGGTGGTGGTGTTGATGGTGTGGTGTGGGTGATGGTGGTGGTTGTGTGGTTGGTGGTGATGGTAGTGGTGTTGGTGGTGATGGTGGTGTTGGTGGTGTTGGTGTTGGTGGTGATGGTGGTGGTGTTGGTGGTGATGGTAGTGGGTGTTGGTGGTGATGGTGGTGTTGGTGGTGTTTGTGTGTGTGGTGATGGTGGTGGTGTTGGTGGTGATGGTTGTGTTGTTGATGGTGGTGGTGTGGGTGATGGTGGTGGTGGTCTTGGTGGTGATGGTAGTGGTGTTGGTGGTGATGGTGGTGTGTGGTGGTTTGGTGTTGGGGGTGATGGTGGTGGTGTTGGTGGTGGTGTGGGGTGGTGTTGATTGTGGTGGTGGTTGTGATGTTGTGTTGCTTGGTGGTGGTGGTGTTGTTGGTGGTGGTGGTGGTGTGGGTGGTGATGGTAGTGGTGTTGGTGGTGATGATGGTGGTTGGTGGTGTGGGTGGTGATAGTGGTGGTGTGGGTGGTGGGTGGTGTGGATGGTGTTGTTGGTGGTGGTGTGGGTGGTGTTGTTGTTGGTGGTGGTGGTGGTGTGGGTGGTGTTGTTGTTGGTGGTGGTGTGGTGGTGGTGGTGGTTGTGATGTTGTTGATGGTGGTTGGTGGTGTTGGTGGTGATGGTGGTGGTGATAGTGTTGGTGTTGGTGGTGATGGTGGTGGTTGTGGTGTTGGTGGTGATGGTAGTGGTGTTGGTGGTGATGGTGGTGTTGTGGTGATGGGTGGTGGTGGTGTGGTGGTTGATGGTGTTGGTGATGATGGTGATGGTGGTGGTGTTTGGTGGTGATGGTGGTGTTGGTGGTAATGGTGTTTGGTGGTGATGGTGGTGGGGTGGTGTTGGTGGTGATGGTGGTGGTGGTGGTGATGGTGGTGTTGGGTGGTGATGGCGGTGGTGTGGGTGGTGATGGTGTTGGTTGAGATGGTGATGGTGGTGGTGTTGGTGGTGATGGTGGTGTAGGTGGTGGTGTTGGTGGTGATGGTGTGTTGGTGGTAATGGTGTTGGTGGTGATGGTGGTGGGTGGTGTTGGTGGTGATGGTGGTGGTGTGGGTGATGTTGTTGATGATGATGATGTGGGTGTTGTTGTTGATGGTGGTGGTGGTGGTGTGGGTGATGTTGTTGATGATGATGATGTGGGTGTTTTGTTGGATGGTGGTGGTGGTGGTGTGGGTGATGTTGTTTGATGATGATGATTGTGGTTGTTGTGTTGATGGTGGTGGTGGTGGGTGGTGTGGTGTGTGTTGTTTTTGGTGTTGGTGGTGGTGGTGTTGATGATGTTGTTGATGATGGTGGTGGTGGTATTGGTGTTGGTGTTGATGATGGTGGTGGTGGTGTGGGTGTGTTTGTTGTTGATGATGGTGGTGTGGTGTTGTTGTTGTGATGGATGGTGGTGGTGTGGGGTTGTTGATGGTATGTTGTTGTTCCATTCCGTTGGGGAGCGGTGGTGCAGCGGTTAGCGCACCCAAGCCCCAGCGAGCTCGGTGTGGGCACGTGTCCCCCCTCGTGTGTGTGTGGGTGTGTGTGTGGTGTGGTGTGTGTGGTGTGTTGTGTGGTGTGGTGTGTGTGGTGGTGTGTGGTGCTGTGTGTGGTGGTGTGTGTGGTGTGTGGTGTGGTGTGTGTGTGTGGTGTGTGTGTGTGTGTGTGTGTGTGGTGTGGTGTGTGTGGTGTGTGTGTGGTGTGTGTGTGTGGTGTGTGTGGTTGTGTGGTGTGGGTGTTTGTGTGGGTGTGTGTGTGGTGTGTGTGTGTGGTAGTGTGTGTGGTGTGTGTGTTGGGTGTGTGTGGTGTGTGTAAGGTGGGGTGTGTGTGTGTGGTGTGTGTGTGTGTGGTGTGTGTGGTGTGTGTGTGGGGTGTGTGTGTTTGGTGTGGGGTGTGTGTGTGTGGTGTGTTGTGGTGGGTGTGGTGTGTTGTGTGTGGTGTGTGTGGTGTGTGTGTGTGGTGTGTGGGTGATGTGTGTGGTGTGATTGATGTGAGGGTGATGTGTGGGTGCATGTGTATGTGGGTGTTATGTGTGCCGGTGGGTGTGGGTGTGTGTGGTGTGGGTGTGGTGTGTGGTGTTTGATGGTGTGCTGTGGTGTGGTGGTGTTGGGTGTGGGTGTGGATGTGTGCAGGCTGGGTGGTGGCGATGTGGTGTGTGCGGGTGTGTGGTGTGGTGTGTGGGGTGGATGTGTGTGTGAGTGTGTGTTGACCGGGGTGTGTGTTTGCGGTAGTGTGTATGTGTGGTGTGTGGTGTGGTGTGTGTGTGGTGTGTGTGGTGCGTGGCGTCTGTGACCACTACAGCGGCTAAATGGGGGCTCTGGATGGGTGCGAGGGGCTGGGTAACCCCTAACTACAAACAAAAAATGTTATTAACAAGATTGGCCGGAGGCCCGGGGGGACAGGCGTCTATGCTGTCTCCTGGCCCAAACCCCATTTGGCGGAGCCAGGAGATTGAATTTTCACCCTCGGGGCTCCTCCAGAAACAACAACAAAAAGCCACTACGAATGGCCACATGGGAATGTTCGAACGCTCACTGCGGAGGAGAGGCTGCCACTCCTCTGTCGGGAGCTGGACCGGTACCACCTGGATATCTGTGGTATTCAGGAGGTCCGGTGGACCGGCTCTGGCTCCTGCCACCATGAGGGGTGGACAGTCTTCTACTCGAGGCAGGAGACTGCCAAACAACAGGGAGTGGCTCTTCTTCTGAACAAAATAATGAAGGGGGCGTGGGAGCGTGGCAGTAAGGTGTGGGAAGCTGTAAGCCCCAGGCTACTTTGGGCTTGCCTTGCCATCAACCGGAGGCGAGGAGTGGTGGTCATGGTTACTTATGTCCCGACCGAAGACGAACATCCGTGGAGGGATGCAGGCCAGGCTGATGAGTCAGATGCCTTCTATAAACTCCTGTCACAGGTGCTAGCTAAAGTGGCCCCTCGGGAAAGAGTCATCTTGTTGGGTGACTTTAATGCCCGAGTTGGTCATGATGCTGGCACCTGGTCTGGAGTGATTGGAAGGCATGGGCCAGATCAGCTCAAAAACAACGGTAGGAGGCTGCTAGATTGTTGTGCAGCCCATGGACTTGTAATTACCAACACGCTGTTCCAGCATCGGCGCATCCATACAACATCATGGATGCATGCCGGGTCTAAGCAAGAACATCTGCTGGACTACGTAGTGAAGGACCAGTGGATGCGGGCCCATGTCCTTGACACCAGGACCTACCGTGGAGCTGATCTACACTCTGATCGATGCCCGGGTGCGGTCAAAAGATGGCTCCCTATTGGTCAACCTGGTAATTGCGGCTCACTCAGAGAAGGAGTTGGAGACGCTGCTGCTGAAACTGGAGTGTGCCACTAAAAGGTGGGGCCTTACCATCAACCCCACTAAAACGAAGCACCTGCCTGGGTATTTTGTACCATCGGGCACTCCACCCCCACAACTCCCAATCGGTGATGGGGCAGTTGTGGAGAGAGTGGAGAGTTTCCCATACCTGGGCAGTGTGCTCATGACCGGCTCCGGTTTAACAGCAGAGGTCTCACTCCGAATCAGTCGAGCGGCATCATCTTTTCATCGGTTGTGTAACGCTGTGTGGAAGCTACCTGGTTTGTCACTCCGCACGAAGCTTCAGGTCTTCTCGGCCACGGTCATAACCTCCCTCTATTCTTGCAAAACGTGGACCCCCGCTAGTGGAACATTGTCGCCAGTTAGAAACATTTAGGCTGGCCTGCCTACGATCCATCTTGGGTTTGAACCAGACTGGATTGTGTGAAGAGCTCAAAAATCCTTGAAAGATCTGGACAAAGCCCCATCGGTGAGCTCCTATGGCAGGCAAGGCTGCGTTGGCTGGGTCATGTAGCCCGCATGCCCAGCCACCGCATGCCTAAATAACTTTTGTTCAGCCGGATCGAGGGGGCTAAACGGTGCGTGGCACGGGCTGGAGAAGAGATGGAGTGATGTGGTACAGGAGGATGTGGAGTAAGTGGGACTTACCAATGACCGGTACCAGCGGTGTCAAGAACGGCCTCTGTAGAGGAGGCTCGTGAACGGACGCTACTGGGCAGTGGAGGCAGTCGCCCTCCAACAACAACGGAGGGCGGAGGCGCGACGCATCACACAACGAGCGTAGCGCCGGGTGGCTAAGCACAGCAAGTTGGCACAGTAGGGGGCACAGGTGGTGCATCAGCCAGTCATCTCGGTCATCTCGTCAGTCGACCCGTGGCACCTGGGTCTGCCCCCGTGACCTCCTGCCAGCGGGCGTTCGACACTTCACGTGGCCTCAAGGTTGCACTTGGCCTGGCACAAGCGTCGTGGTGATGTCACAGCCAATTAGTGGCGAATGTCTATTTTTGTTCTGGTTGTGGCGTTGGTTGTGTGTACCTCTATGTAGTTTGTGTGTTGTTTGTTTGTAAGAATGTCGTTGAACTTCCTTGTACAGTGTAGTGTATAGTGTAGTGTATAGTAGTGTACAGTGTAGTGTATAGTGTAGTGTATAGTAGTGTATAGTGTAGTGTATAGAGTAGTGTATAGTGTAGTGTATAGTGTAGTGTATAGTAGTGCATAGTATAGTGTATAGTAGTGTATAGTGTCGTTTATAGTAGTGTATAGTGTAATGTATAATGTAGTTTATAGTAGAGTAGTGTCTAGTGTAGTGTATAGTGTATAGTCATGTATAGTAGTGTATAGTGTATTATCGTCAACATCATCACTACCATCATTAACATCACCGTCACCATCACCTCTACCATCACCATCATCATCGCCACCATCACTGCACTGCCACCATCATTAGCATCACCACCACCATCATTAACATGAACTGCATCTCGATTTGTCCTTTCGTTTCCAATCAGCTCTACGCAGTAGGCAGTGGTGTTGGTGGTGGTGGTTGAGGCCCCACCATGAGGTGGTGGCTGGTGGTGGTGGTGGCGGGTGGTGGTGCCGCTGGGTCACGCCAGGACGTGGCGACACTTTCTGGCGGCCCGAAGAGAGACCCTGGGACTTCGGGACGCGAGGTGAGACGACGATGATGATGATGATGACGATGATGATGATGATGACGATGATGATGACGACGATCATGACGATGATGATGACGATGATGATGATGACGATGATGATGACGGTGATGATGATGACGATGATGATGATGATGACGACGATCATGACGATGATGATGACTATGATGATGACAACGATGATGATGGTGATGACGATGATGACGATGGTGATGACGATGATGACGATGATGTGATGACGATGATGATGACGATGATGACGATGATGACGATGACGATGATGACGATGATGATGATGATGATGACGATGATGTGATGACGATGATGACGATGATGATGACGATGATGATGATCACGACGACGACGATGATGACGATGATAATGACGATGATGATGACGACGATGATGATGATAATGATGACGACGATGATGACGATAATGATGACGCTGATGTTGACGATGATGACGATGATGACGACGATGATGACGATAATGACGACGATGATGACGACTTTGATGATGATGATGACGCGATGATGACGACAATGATGACGATGATGACGTTGATGTTGACGATGATGATGACGATGATGACGTGATGTTAACGATGATGATGACGATGATGACGTTGATGTTGACGATGATGATGACGATGATGACGTTGATGTTGACGACAATGATGACGATGATGACGTTGATGTTAACGATGATGATGACGATGATGACGTTGATGTTGACGATGATGATGACGATGATGACGTTGATGTTGACGACAATGATGACGATGATGACGTTGATGTTGACGATGATGATGACGATGATGACGTGATGTTAACGATGATGATGACGATGATGACGTTGATGTTGACGATGATGATGACGATGATGACGTTGATGTTACGATGATGATGACGATGATGACGTTGATGTTGAACGATGATGATGACGATGATGACGTTGATGTTGACGATGATGATGACGATGATGACGTTGATGTTGACGACGATGATGACGATGATGACGTTGATGTTAACGATGATGATGATGATGATGACGACGATGATGACGACAATGATGACGATGATGACGTGATGTTAACGATGATGATGACGATGATGACGTTGATGTTAACGATGATGATGACGATGATGACGTTGATGTTGACGATGATGATGACGATGATGACGTTGATGTTGACGATGATGATGACGATGATGACGTTGATGTTGACGATGATGATGACGATGATGACGTGATGTGACGATGATGATGACGATGATGACGTTGATGTTGACGATGATGATGACGATGATGACGTTGATGTTGACGACAATGATGACGATGATGACGTTGATGTTGACGATGATGATGACGATGATGACGTTGATGTTGACGACGATGATGACGATGATGACGTTGATGTTGACGATGATGATGACGATGATGACGTGATGTTGACGATGATGATGACGATGATGACGTTGTGTTACCTATGATGATGACGATGATGACGTTGATGTTGACGACGATGATGACGATGATGACGTTGATGTGACGATGATGATGACGATGATGACGTTGATGTTGACGATGATGATGACGATGATGACGTTGATGTTAACGATGATGATGACGATGATGAGTTGATGTTGACGACAATGATGACGATGATGACGTTGATGTTGACGACAATGATGACGATGATGACGTTGATGTTGACGACAATGATGACGATGATGACGATGATGAGTTGATGTTGACAATGGTGTTGACGATGATAACAGAGTGACCCGTGTGCTACGAGTGATCTCCCCCCCACCGCTCCACCACTACCCCCGTGACCCCCACGTGTTCCCCATTTTGGTACTTTACCCACCCCCCCACTCGTTGTGATTGGCTCCACGCAGGGCACGCTGGGAGACCAAGGCCGTGTTCGTGGGGTACAAAGACGCGACTTTCCAAGACGATATCCCCACAGAGCCCTGGCAAGGTACATGGCGTGCCACGGAGGCTAGGAGATGTTAACTACGTCGCCTGGTCTACAGGAGGTCGTGGTTTCGATCCCAACCCAGATGCCCACAGTGGCTAGGAGATGTTGACTACCTCGCCTGGTACGCAGGAGGTCGTGGGTTCGATCACGACCTTGACACCCACAGTGGCTAGGAGATGTTGACTACCTCGCCTGGTACGCAGGAGGTCGTGGGTTCGATCACGACCTTGACACCCACAGTGGCTAGGAGATGTTGACTACCTCGCCTGGTACGCAGGAGGTTGTGGGTTCGACGCTGACCCTGACGATGCCTGTTGTATATGTGGAGTCTGCGTCTCTCTCTCTCATCATCATCACGGTGTCTAGGAGATGTTAACTACCTCGCCTGGTACCCAGGAGGTCGTGGGTTCGACGCCGACCCTCACGAATCCCGCTGCTGTATTTTCGGCCAACGTTCTCACCCTACCCATTAAACAAAAACCTCTATTGTGGATGACGTTGGTTGCGAAAGCCCACCACGTGTTCAACTTCTACTCCAACCACGATGGCTGGGCACGTGGGGACAGGGGGGGGGGGGGCTAGTGTCCCACTGACCCCCCCTCAACTCCCAACCCCCCCCACCCCTCCCCTCCAGGTCTCCTGGGCCCCGTGTTGAGGGCGGAGGTGGGTGACACCATTGAAGTGGTCTTCCTCAACAGGGCCAGCAAGCCCTACAGCATGCACGCTCACGGCGTCGCATACCGCAAGAGCTCCGAGGGTGAGTTCGACAAGGGGATGGGGGGCTGGGGGGGCGGGGAGGGTGTGAGTGGGGAGAGGGACCCCCCTTATAGGGATCTGCCTCTGTGGATGAGGATTGGGATCAGTTGGGGGGTCTCTCTCTGTCTCTTTGGGATCGGCAGTGAGATTAGAAGGTTATATGGCGCTGATTCTCTGGGTCTCTGTCTCTCTCGGATCAGTAGGAGTCTGTCTGGGATCAGTAGGAGTTTGTCTGGGATCAATAGGGGTCTCTCTGTCTCTTTGGGATCGGCAGTGGGATTGGAAGGTTATATGGCGCTGACTCTCTTACGATAAATCTTACGACGAAACTCACAATGAAGCTTACGACAAAACTTACGACGCAACTTACCACGCAACTTACGTCAAAACTTATAATGAAACTTGCGACAAAACTTACGACGCAACTTACGACAAAACTTACGACTAAACTTATAATGAAACTCACGACAAAACTTACCACGCAACTTACGACAAAACTTACAACGAAACTTACGATGAAACTTACAACGAAACTTACGATGAAACTTACGACTCAACTAACGACGTAACTTATGATCAAACTTAAGATTAAACTTCTGATGAAACTTCTGATGAAACTTACGACAAAAGTTACAATGAAACTTACGATGAAACTTACAACGAAACTTACGATGAAACTTACGACTCAACTAACGACGTAACTTATGATCAAACTTAAGATTAACTTCTGATGAAACTTCTGATGAAACTTACGACAAAAGTTACAATGAAACTTACGACAAAACTAAGCAACACAGCTTACGACAAAACTTGCAACGCAACTCACGTCAAAACTTGCAACGCAACTTACAACGAAACTTACGATAAAACTTACGACAAAACTCACAACACAGCTTACGATGAAACTTACGACTCAACTAACGACGCAACTTACGACGAAACTTACAATGAAACTAACAACGCAACTTACGACAAAGCCTACCACGCAACTTACGACAAAGCCTACCACGCAACTTACGACGAAACTTATAATGAAACTTACGACGAAACTCACGACAAAGCCTACCACGCAACTTACGACAAAACTTACGACTCAACTAACGACAAAACTTACAACGAAACTCACGGCAAAACTTACGATGAAACTTATAATGAAACTTACGACTCAACTAACGACGCAACTTACCACGCAACTTACGACAAAACTTACGACGAAACTTATAATGAAACTTACGACTCAACTAACGACAAAACTTACCACGCAACTTACGACAAAACTTACGACGAAACTTACAACGAAACTTACGACTCAACTAACGACAAAACTTACGACGAAACTTATAATGAAACTAATGACAAAACTTACGACTCAACTAACGACAAAACTTACCACGCAACTTACGACAAAACTTACGACAAAACTTACGACTCAACTAACGACAAAACTTACAACGAAACTCATGGCAAAACTTACGATGAAACTTATAATGAAACTTACGACTCAACTAACGACACAACTTACCACGCAACTTACGACAAAACTTACGACGAAACTTATAATGAAACTTACGACAAACTCACGACAAAACTTACCACTCAACTAACGACGCAACTTACAACGAAACTTACAACAAAACTCACGGCAAAACTTACAACGCAACTTACGACTCAACTAACGACGCAACTTACAACGAAACTTACAACGAAACTCACGATGAAACGTACGCCAAAACTTACAATGAAACTTACGAGTCAACTAACGACGCAACTTACAACGAAACTTACAACGAAACTCACGATGAAACTTACGCCAAAACTTACAATGAAACTTACTACTCAACTAACGACGCAACTTACAACGAAACTTACAACGAAACTCACGGCAAAACTTACAACGCAACTTACGACAAAACTTACGACGAAACTTATGACGCAACTTACGCTAAAACTTACGACAAAACTTACGACAAAACTTATGACGCAACTTACGATGAAACTTACGACTCAACTAACGACGCAACTTATGATCAAACTTAAGATGAAACTTCTGATGAAACTTACAACGAAACTCACGACAAAACTTACGACAAAACTCACCGCAAAACTTACGACGAAACTCATGCTGCCCCCCCCCGCCGCGGCTCGACCTCCGCCAGGCGCCGCCTACGCGGACGGCACCTCCACCGAGCAGGACAAGGCGGACGACGCCGTGGCCCCCGGCCAGCGACACACGTACGTGTGGCGGGTGGCCGAGGGGCCCACAGATGTCGACCCCGAGTGCCTCACCTACGCCTACCACTCACACGTGGACACCGTCAAGGACTCGGGCTCGGGGCTCTACGGAGCGATCGTCGTCTGTAGGAATGGTACGTGTGTGTGTGTCTGTGTGTGTGTGCACGTGTGTGTGTGTACACGTGTGTGTGTGTACGTGTGTGTGTGTGTACACGTGTGTGTGTGTACGTGTGTGTGTGTGTACACGGGTGTGTGTGTGTACACGTGTGTGTGTACACGTGTGTGTGTGTGTGCACGTGTGTGTGTGTGTACACGTGTGTGTACACGTGTCTGTGTGTACACGTGTGTGTGTGTACACGTGTGTGTGTGTGCACGTGTGTGTATACACGTGTGTGTGTACACGTGTGTGTGCGTACACGTGTGTGTGTACACGTGTGTGTGTGTACACGTGTGTGTGTGTGTGTACACGTGTGTGTACACGTGTCTGTGTGTACACGTGTGTGTGTGTACACGGTGTGTGTGTGTACACGTGTGTGTGTGTCTGTGTGTGTGTGTACACGTGTGTGTGTGTACACGTGTGTGTGTGTGTACACGTGTCTGTGTGTGTACACGTGTGTGTGTGTACACGTGTGTGTGTGTGTGTGTACACGTGTGTGTACACGTGTCTGTGTGTACACGTGTGTGTGTGTACACGTGTGTGTGTGTCTGTGTGTGTGTGTGTACACGTGTGTGTGTGTACACGTGTGTGTGTGTGTGTACACGTGTCTGTGTGTGTGTACACGTGTGTGTGTGTGGCTCTCTGAGCGAGCCAGCGTCTCTCCGAGGGAGTCAACGTCTCTCTGGCTCTCAGACATAGACTCCACGTGGCTCTCTGGCTCTCAGAGCCGGTCTCTGGCTCTCTGAGAGAGTCTTGTGGCTCTCCGAGCCAGCCCATGGCTCTCTGGCTCTCTGAGCAAGCGAGCGTTTCTCCGAGGGAGTCTACGGCTCTCTGAGTAAGTCCATGACCCTCTGGCTCACTGAGCTAGTCTTTGGCTCACTGAGTGAAGCTATGGCTCTCTGGCGGTCTGAGCGAGTCTATGGCTCTCCGAGTGAAGCTATGGCTCTCTTGTTCTCTGATGATGTCTGTGTCTCTCTGGCTCTCTGAGTGAGTCTTTGGCTCGCTGGCTCTCAGAGCCGGTCTCTGGCTCTCTGAGAAAGTCTGCGGCTCTCCAAGCCAGCCCATGGCTCTCTGGCTCTCTGAGCGAGCCAGCGTCTCTCCAAGGGAGTCAACGACTCTCTGCCTCTGAAACACGTGGCTCTCTGGCTCTCTCAGAGTGAGTCTGCGACTCTCCGAGCCAGCCCATGGCTCTCTGGCTCTCTGAGCGAGCCAGCGTCTCTCCGAGTGAAGCTACGGCTCTCTGGCGGTCTGAGACAGTCTATGGCTCACTGAGTGAAGTCTATGTCTTTCTGGCTCTCTGAGTGAGTCTTTGGCTCGCTGGCTCTCAGAACCGGTCTATGGCTCTCTGAGCAAGTCTGCGGCTCTGCAAGCCAGCCCATGGCTCTCTGGCTCTCTGAGCGAGCCAGCGTCTCTCCGAGGGAGTCTAAGTCTCTCTGAGTAAGTCCATGACCCTCTGGCTCGCTGAGCCAGTCTCTGGCTCTCTGAGTGAAGCTATGGCTCTCTGAGCCAGTCTCTGGCTCTCCGAGTGAAGCTACGGCTCTCTGGCGGTCTGAGCCAGTCTATGGCTCACTGAGTGAAGTCTATGTCTTTCTGGCTCTCTGAGTGAGTCTTTGGCTCGCTGGCTCTCAGAACCGGTCTATGGCTCTCTGAGCAAGTCTGCGGCTCTGCAAGCCAGCCCATGGCTCTCTGGCTCTCCTCCAAACTCGGCACCCCCCCCCCAGGCTCGCTGGATGCGCACGGCCGTCAGAAGCTTGCGGAGCGATCCATCGTGCTGGCGTTCGCCTCCGACTCGCAGGCTCACAGCTGGTACAGCGCCCGCAGCGAGCTCACCTACACCATCAACGGCTTCGAGCGGGGACACATACCAGGTGCGGCAGAGACACGCGGAGACTCACAGAGACTCATAGAGACTCATATAGATTCATAGAGACTCACAGAGACTCATAGAGATACGTAGAGATTCATAGAGACACACAGAGACTCACAGAGACTCATAGAGATTCATAGAGACGCACAGAGACTCGTAGAGATACGTAGAGACTCATAGAGACACACAGAGACTCATAGAGATTCATAGAGACACACAGAGACTCATAGAGATACGTAGAGATTCATAGAGACTCACCTACACTGTCAACGGCTTCGAGTGGGGACAGATTCCAGGTGCGGCAGAGACACACAGAGACACACAGAGACTCATAGAGACTCATAGAGACTCATATAGATTCATAGAGACACACGGAGACTCATAGAGATACGTAGAGACTCATAGAGACACACAGAGACTTATAGAGATTCACAGAGACTCATAGAGACACACAGAGACTCATAGAGATTCACAGAGACTCATAGAGATACACAGAGACTCATAGAGATCCACAGAGACTCATAGAGACACACAGACACTCATAGAGATTCACATAGACTCATAGAGATACGTATAGACTCACTGAGATTCATAGAGACACACAGAGACACACAGAGACTCATAGAGATACACAGAGACTCACTGAGATTCACAAAGACACACAGAAACTCACCTACACCGTCAACGGCATCGAGCGGGGACACATCCCAGGTGCGGCAGAGACACACAGAGACACACAGAGACTCACTGACATTCATAGAGACTCGTAGAGACACATAGAGACTCACGGAGTCCCATAGAGACTCGTAGAGACACACAGAGACTCACGGAGTCCCATAGAGACTCATAGAGACACACAGAGACTCACGGAGTCTCACAGAGACTCGTAGAGACACGCAGAGACACACAGAGACTCACTGACATTCATAGAGACTCATAGAGACACACAGAGACTAAATTAGATTCATAGAGACTCGTAGAGACACACAGAGACTCACGGAGTCTCATTGAGACTCGTAGAGACACACAGAGACTCACGAGTCTCATAGAGAATCATAGAGACTCACTGAGATTCATAGAGACACACAGAGACTAAATTACATTCATAGAGACTCGTAGAGACACACAGAGACTCACGGAGTCTCATAGAGAATCATAGAGACACACAGAGACTCACGGAGTCTCATAGAGAATCATAGAGACTCACTGAGATTCATAGAGACACACAGAGACTCAGCCCCAGCCGACCCTGCAACGCAGAGTGACCTTTAACCCCCCTCACCTGCCCCCCCCTGCCCTCCCCCCCCGCCCTCCCCCCGCCCTCCCCCCGCCCCCCCCGCCCCCCCGCCCCCCGCCCCCAGGGCTGACTCTGTGCGCGAGGGAGAACACGACCCTCCACCTGCTGTGCCCCCCATCCGCCTCGGGGGTCTTCTCGGTGCACGTGGAGGGGGTGGTGGGGGTCGAGGCGGGGCTGGCTCGCTCCGTGGTCACCCTCGACCCCGGAGAGTCGACCACGCTGGAGGTGGCGCCAGAGTTCACCGGGAAGGGGCGAGTGTTCAGCACGCTCACCGCTCACCTGCTCGGTGAGTGGGTGGGTGGGTGAGTGGGTGGGTGGGTAAGTGGGTGAGTAGGTGGGTGAGTGAGTGGGTGGGTGGGTGGGTGTGTGAGTGGGCGGGTGAGTGGGTGGGTGGGTGGGTGAGTGGGTGGGTGGGTGGGTAAGTGGGTGGGTGGGTGAGTGAGTGAGTGGGTGGATGGGTGAGTGGGTGAGTGGGTGGGTGAGTGGGTGGGTGGGTGGGTGAGTGGGTGGGTGGGTGAGTGAGTGAGTGAGTGGGTGGGTGAGTGGGTGGGTGAGTGGGTGGGTGGGTGGGTGGGTGGGTGGGTGAGTGGGTGGGTGGGTGGGTGGGTGGGTGGGTGGGTGAGTGAGTGAGTGAGTGGGTGAGTGAGTGGGTGAGTGGGTGGGTGGGTGGGTGAGTGTGTGAGTGGGTGTGTGAGTGGATGAGTGAGTGGGTGAGTGTGTGGGTGGGTGGGTGGGTGAGTGTGTGGGTGGGTGAGTGAGTGAGTGAGTGGGTGAGTGAGTGGGTGAGTGTGTGGGTGGGTGGGTGGGTGAGTGTGTGGGTGGGTGGGTGAGTGAGTGAGTGAGTGGGTGAGTGAGTGAGTGAGTGGGTGAGTGGGTGGGTGGGTGGGTGGGTGAGTGGGTGGGTGGGTGGGTGGGTGGGTGAGTGGGTGGGTGAGTGAGTGAGTGAGTGGGTGGGTGGGTGGATGGGTGAGTGGGTGGGTGAGTGAGTGGGTGGGCGAGTGAGTGATTGGGTGAGTTGGTGGGAGAGAGAGGGGGTTCGTGGGTGAGTGAGTGAGTGGGTGAGTGAGTGAGTGAGTGGGTGCGTGGGTGGGTGGGTGGGCGGGCGAGCGAGTGAGTGAGTGAGTGGGTGAGTGAGTGAGTGGGTGGGTGAGGTGAGTGGTCGACATCGGGCTGGCTCGCTCTGTGGTCACCCTCGACCCCGGGGAGTCGACCACGCTGGAGGTGGCACCGGAGTTCACCGGCAGAGGGCGAGTGTTCAGCACGCTCACCGCTCACCTGCTCGGTGAGTGGGTGGGTGGGTGATTGAGTGAGTGGGTGAGTGGGTGGGTAGGTGAGTGAGTGGGTGGGTGGGTGAGTGGGTGAGTGAGTGGGTGGGTGGGTGGGTGAGTGAGTGGGTGGGTGGGTGGGTGAGTGAGTGAGTGAGTGGGTGGGTGGGTGGGTGGGTGGGTGGGTGGATGGGTGAGTGAGTGGGTGAGTGAGTGGGTGGGTGAGTGGGTGGGTGGGTGAGTGGGTGGGCGAGTGAGTGAGTGAGTGAGTGGGTGGGTGGGCGAGTGAGTGAGTGAGTGGGTGAGTGAGTGAGTGCGTGGGTGGGTGGGTGGGTGGGTGGTGGGTGGGTGGGTGGTGAGTGAGTGGGTGGGTGAGTGGGTGGGCGAGTGAGTGTTTGGGTGAGTTGGTGGGCGAGTGAGTGAGTGGGTGGGTGAGTGAGTGAGTGAGTGAGTGGGTGGGTGGGTGAGTGGGTGGGTGGGTGGGTGGGTGGGTGATGGTGGTGAGTGGGTGGGTGGGTGAGATGAGTGAGTGAGTGGGTAGGTGAGTGGGTGGGTGGGCGAGCGAGCGAGTGAGTGAGTGAGTGAGTGGGTGGGTGAGGTGAGTGGTCGACGTGGGGCTGGCTCGCTCCGTGGTCACCCTCGACCCCGGAGAGTCGACCACGCTGGAGGTGGCGCCGGAGTTCACCGGGAAGGGGCGAGTGTTCAGCACGCTCACCTGCTCGGTGAGTGGGTGGGTGGGTAAGTGGGTGGGTGGGTGGGTGAGTGAGTGAGTGGGTGAGTGAGTGGGTGGGTGAGTTGGTGGGTTAGTGAGTGAGTGAGTGAGTGGGTGGGTGGGTGGGTGGGTGGGTGGGTGAGTGAGTGGGTGGGTGAGTGGGTGGGTGGGTGAGTGGGTGGGTAAGTGGGTGGGTTGGTGAGTGAGTGAGTGAGTGGGTGGGTGAGTGAGTGGGTGGGTGGGTGAGTGGGTGAGTGAGTGGGTGGGCGGGTGGGTGGGTGGGTGGGTGGGTGGGTGGGTGGGTGGGTGGGTGGGTGGGTGAGTGAGTGGGTGAGTGGGTGGGTGGGTTGGTGAGTGGGTGGGTGGGTGGGTGGGTGGGTGTGTGGGTGGGTGGGTGGGTGGGTGAGTGGGTGGGTGGGTGGGTGAGTGAGTGGGTGGTTGGGTGAGTAAGTGGGTGGGTGAGTGGATGGGTGGGTGGGTGAGTGGGTGGGTGGGTGGGTGGGTGGGTGGGTGGGTGAGTGAGTGGGTGGGTGAGTGAGTGAGTGAGTGGGTGGGTGGGTGGGTGAGTGGGTGGGTGGGTGTATGGGTGAGTGGGTGAGTGGGTGAGTGAGTGAGTGAGTGAGTGAGTGGGTGGGTGGGTGAGTGGGTGGGTGGGTGTGTGGGTGGGTGAGTGGGTGGGTGGGTGAGTGGGTGGGCGAGTGAGTGATTGGGTGAGTTGGTGGGCAAGTGAGTGGGTGGGTGAGTGGGTGGGTGGGTGGGTGAGTGGGTGGGCGAGTGAGTGGGCGAGTGAGTGAGTGAGTGGGTGGGTGGGTGGGTGGGTGAGTGAGTGAGTGGGTGGGTGGGTGAGTGAGTGGGTGAGTGGGTGGGTGGGTGAGTGAGTCAGTGACTGGGCGAGTGGATTTGTGTGTGAGTGGGTGGGTGAGTGAGTGGGTGGGTGGGTGAATAGGTTAGTGTGTGAGTGGGTGGGTGAGTGAGTGGGTGAGTGGGTGGGTGAGCGAGTGAGCGAGTGAGTGAGTGAGTGGGTGACTGAGTGGGTGAGTGAGTGACTGAGTAGGTAAGTTAGTGAGTGAACGAGCAGCTGGCTTCTATGCCACTTCACAGGTCTAAGTGCCACTCTATGAGTCTCTGTGGCACTATATGAGTCTCTGTGCCACTCTCTGAGTCTCTGTGCCACTCTATGAGTCTCTGCGCCACTCTAAGGGTCTCTATGCTACACCCCACGTGTCTCTCTGTGCCGCTCTATGAGTCTCTGTGCCACTCTCTGAGTCTCTGTGCCACTCTATGAGTCTCTATGCTACATCCCCACGTGTCTCTCTGCACCACTCTATGAGTCTCTGTGCCACTCTATGAGTCTCTGTGCCACTCTGAGTCTCTTTGCCACTCTATGAGTCTTTGTGCCACTCTATGAGTCTCTGTGCCACTCTCTGAGTCTATGCGCCACTCTATGAGTCTCTGTGCCACTCTATGAGTCTCTGTGCCACTCTAGGGGTCTCTATGCTACATCCCCACGTGTCTCTCTGCGCCACTCTATGAGTCTCTGTGCCACTCTATGAGTCTCTGTGCCACTCTGAGTCTCTTTGCCACTCTATGAGTCTTTGTGCCACTCTATGAGTCTCTGTGCCACTCTCTGAGTCTATGCGCCACTCTATGAGTCTCTGTGCCACTCTATGAGTCTCTGTGCCACTCTAGGGGTCTCTATGCTACATCCCCACGTGTCTCTCTGCGCCACTCTATGAGTCTCTGTGCCACTCTATGAGTCTCTGTGCCACTCTGAGTCTCTTTGCCACTCTATGAGTCTTTGTGCCACTCTATGAGTCTCTGTGCCACTCTCTGAGTCTATGCGCCACTCTATGAGTCTCTGTGCCACTCTATGAGTCTCTGTGCCACTCTAGGGGTCTCTATGCTACATCCCCACGTGTCTCTCTGCGCCACTCTATGAGTCTCTGTGCCACTCTATGAGTCTCTGTGCCACTCTGAGTCTCTTTGCCACTCTATGCGTCTTTGTGCCACTCTTTGAGTCTCTGTGCCACTCTCTGAGTCTATGCGCCACTCTATGAGTCTCTGTGCCACTCTATGAGTCTCTGTGCCACTCTAGGGGTCTCTGTGCCACTCTATGAGTCTCTGTGCCACTCTAGGGGTCTCTATGCTACATCCCCACGTGTCTCTCTGCGCCACTCTATGAGTCTCTGTGCCACTCTCTGAGTCTCTGTGCCACTCTATGAGTCTCTGAGCCACTCTATGAGTCTCTGAGCCACTCTATGAGTCTCTGAGCCACTCTATGAGTCTCTACCCACGTGTCTCTCTGTGCCACCGTATCAGCCGGTCTGCAGGCTCCGTTCCAGGTGGTGCGCTGTGAGGGTTACTCGCCCGGCTCGCAGCCTCGTCGCAGCATCCTCAGCAAAGCGCCGCACACCTGGAAGTTTTTCATCGCCGCAGTCGAGGTCCTGTGGGACTACGGCACCAGCCTGCAGGACTCGGCACCAGCGTGAGGGCTGCAGGCACCCGCGTCATCGTCATCGCCGTCGTCATCATCATCGTCATCATCATTATCATCATCGTCATCATTATCATCGTCGTCGTCATCATTATCATTATCATCATTATCACCACCATCATCACCGTCATCAACGTCATCACCGCCATCACCATCATCATTATCATCATCATCGTCGTCGTCGTCATCGTCGTCGTTGTCGTCATCATCATCGTTATCACCGTCATCATCATCGTCACCGTCATCGTCATCACCGTCATCATCATCATCATCATTACCATCATCACCATCATCACCATCATTATCACCATCATCATCACCATCACCACCATCACCTCCGTCATCATCATCATCACCATCATCGCCATCATCACCATCATCACCATCATCATCACCATCACCACCATCATCACTATCACCATCATCATCATCACCATCATCATCATCACCATCATCGCCATCATCACCATCATCACTATCACCATCATCATCATCACCATCATCACCATCATCATCATCATCACCATCATCACTATCACCATCATCATCATCACCACCATCATCACCGTCATCATCATTATCGACATCATCATCACCGTGACCACCACCATCATCATCACCATTATCACCATCATCACTATCATCACCATCATCATCACCATCATCACCATCATCATCACCATCATCACCACCATCATCACCACCATCATCACCATCATCACCATCATCACCGCCATCACCATCATCATCACCATCATCGCCATCATCACTATAACCATCATCATAACCATCATCACCATCATCACTATCACAATCACCACCATCTTCACCATCATCACCATCATCACCACCATCATCATCACCATCATCACCATCATCATCATCACCATCATCATCATCACTATCACCACCATCACCACCATCACCACCATCATCATCACCACCATCATCACCGTCATCATCACCACCATCATCATCACCACCATCATCATCACCACCATCATCATCATCACCATCACCATCATCACCACTATCACTATCATCATCACCATCATCACCATCATCACCATCACCACCACCATCACCACCATTATCACAACACCCACCATCATCACCATCATCACCATCATCACAACCATCACCACCACCACAACCCCCACCATCATCATCACCATCATCATCATCACCATCATCACCATCATACCCACCACCATCACCATCATCACCACCACCACCATCATCATCATCCCCATCATCACCATCATCACCATCATCACCACCACCATCATCACAACCATCACCACCACCACAACGCCCACCATCATCATCACCATCATCATCACCATCATCATCACCATCACAACCCCCACCACCACCACCATGACCCCCCCCCCCCCGTGACGATCTCCCGTGGCGGCAGGGAGCTGCAAGCGACGTACCTGCAGAACGGGCCGCAGCGCATCGGCCGCTGGTACAAGAAGTCCATCTTCGTGCGCTACGAGGACGACTCATTCTCGGAGGAGGCGCAAATGGAGAAGGACGACTACCTGGGCATCCTGGGGCCAATCATCCGCGCCAACGTCAACGAGTTCGTCGAGGTGGGGATGGGCATCGTCACCGTCGTCGTCATCAGTAGCGTCATTGTCATCATCAGTAGCGCCATCGTCATCATCGTCATCGTCGTCATCGTCATCAGTAGCGTCATCGTCATCATCATCAGTAGCGCCATCATCATCAGTAGCGCCATCGTCATCAGTAGCGCCATCATCATCAGTAGTGTCATCGTCATCATCAGTAGCATCATCGTCATCATCATCAGTAGCGCCATCGTCATCAGTAGCGCCATCGTCATCAGTAGCGCCATCATCATCAGTAGTGTCATCGTCATCATCAGTAGCATCATCGTCATCAGTAGCGTCATCGTCACCATCATCACCATCGTCAACATCGTCATCGTCGTCATCAGTAGCGCCATCATAATCAGTAGCGCCATCGTCATCATTGTCATCAGTAGCGCCATCGTCATCATCGTCATCAGTAGCGCCATCATAATCAGTAGCGCCATCGTCATCATCGTCATCAGTAGCGCCATCGTCATCAGTAGCGTCATCATCATCAGTAGCGCCATCGTCATCACCACCGTCACCATCGTCATCGTCGTCATCAGTAGCGCCATCATCATCAGTAGTGCCATCATCATCAGTAGTGCCATCATCATCAGTAGTGCCATCGTCATCAGTAGCGTCATCGTCATCATCGTCATCAGTAGCGCCATCATCATCAGTAGCATCATCGTCATCAGTAGCGTCATCATCATCAGTAGCGTCATCGTCATCAGTAGCGTCATCATCATCATCAGTAGCGTCATCATCATCAGTAGCGTCATCATCATCAGTAGCGTCATCATCATCAGTAGCGTCATCGTCATCAGTAGCGTCATCATCATCAGTAGCGCCATCGTCACCATCATCACCATCGTCATCGTCGTCATCAGTAGCGTCATCGTTATCATCACCATCATCATCAGTAGCGCCATCGTCATCATCATCATCAGTAGCGCCATCGTCATCATCATCATCAGTAGCGCCATCGTCATCAGTAGCGTCATCATCATCAGTAGCGCCATCGTCACCATCATCACCATCGTCATCGTCGTCATCAGTAGCGTCATCGTTATCATCACCATCATCATCAGTAGCGCCATCGTCATCATCATCATCATCAGTAGCGCCATCGTCACCATCATCACCATCGTCATCATCGTCATCAGTAGCGCCATTGTCATCAGTAGCGTCATCGTTATCATCACCATCATCATGAGTAGCGTCATCGTCATCATCGTCATCAGTTGCGCCATCATCATCAGTAGCGCCGTCGTCACCATCATCACCATCGTCAACATCGTCATCAGTCGCAACATCACCGCCATTGACACTTTCACCATCGTCAACATCAATACCATCACCAACATCAACATCATCACCATCATCACCACCATTGTGGTGGTAGTAGTGGGGTTAGTGGTAGTGGTGGTAGTGGTGGTGGTAGTGGTGGTGTTGGTGTTAGTGGTAGTGGTGGTAGTAGTGGTGGTGGTAGTGGTGGTAGTAGTGGTGGTGGTAGTGGTGGTAGTAGTGGTGGTAGTAGTGGTGGTGGTAGTGCGGGCGTAAGTGGTGGTGTTAGTGGTGGTGGTAGTGGTGGTGGTAGTGCGGGTGTAAGTGGTGGTGGTGGTGGTGTTAGTGGTGGTGTTAGTGGTGGTGGTGTAAGTAGTGGTGGTGGTGGTGTTAGTGGTGGTGGTGGTGTTGTTGTTGGTGGTCTTAGTGATGGTGGTAGTAGTGGTGGTGATAGTGGTGGTGGTGGTGGTAGTAGTGGTGGTGTAAGTGGTGGTGGTGGTGTTGGTGGTGGTGTTAGGTGTGTTAGTGATGGTGTTAGTGGTGGTGGTGTTGTTGTTGTTGGTGATGATGGTAATGGTGGCGGTGGTAGTAGTAGTGGTGTTGTTGTTGGTGGTGGTGGTGTTAGTGGTGGTGTTGGTGGTGGTGGTGTTAGTGGTGTTGTTGGTGTTAGTATTGTTGTTGGTGGTGGTGTTGTTAGTGTTGTTGTTGTTGTTGGTGGTGGTTGACCAACATGATTCTGTCCCCTATCTCCTCGTCCCCAGATCGTCTTCCTCAACTTGGCGTCACGGCCGCACTGCATCTACCCCTTCGGCATCCCCTTTCACAGCGAGTGGGGACCTACAGACTGTTCCAACTCCAGTGAGACACTCACCACTACTCACCACCACTCACCACCACTCACCACTACTCACCACCACTCACCACTACTCACCACCACTCACCACCACTCACCACCACTCACCAGCACTCACCACTCACCAACACTCACCAACACTCACTACCACCACTCACCACCACTCACCACTACTCACCACTCACCACCACTCACCACCACTCACCACTACTCACCACCACTCACCACCACTCACCACCACTCACTCACCACCACTCACCACTACTCACTACCACTCAGCACCACTCACCATCACCACTCACCACCACTCACCACCACTCACCACCACTCACTCACCACCACTCACCACTACTCACTACCACTCAGCACCACTCACCATCACCACTCACCACCACTCACCACCACTCACCACCACCACTCATCACCACTCACCACCACTCACCACCACCACTCATCACCACTCACCACCACTCACCAACACTCACCACCACTCACCACTCACCACCACTACTCACCACCACTCACCACCACCACTCACCAACACTCACCACCACTCACCATCACTCACCAACACTCACCAACACTCACCAGCACTCACCACTACTCACCACCACTCACCACCACTCACCACCACTCACCACTCACTCACCACTACTCACCACCACTCACCACTATACTCACCACTCACCAACACTCACCAACACTCACCAGCACTCACCACTACTCACCACCACTCACCACTACTCACCACTACTCACCACCACTCACTCACCACCACTCACCACCACTCACCACTCACCACCACTCACCACTCACCACCACTCACCACTCACCACTACTCACCACTCACCACTACTCACCACTACTCACCACCACTCACCACCACTCACCACCACTCACCACTACTCACCACCACTCACCACTCACCACTACTCACTCACCACCACTCACCACTACTCACCACTACTCACCACTACACTCACCAGCACTCACCACTCACTCACCACCACTCACCACTACTTACCACCACTCACCACCACTCACCACTACTCACCACTACTCACCACTACTCACCACCACTCACCACTACTCACCACTACACTCACCAGCACTCACCACTCACTCACCACCACTCACCACTACTTACCACCACTCACCACCACTCACTCACCACCACCACTCACCACCACTCACCACCACTCACCACTACTCACCACTACTCACCACCACTCACCACTACTCACCACTACTCAACACCACTCACCACTCACCACTACTCACCACCACTCACCACCACTCACCACTCACCACTACTCACCACCACTCACCACCACTCACCACTACTCACCACTACACTCACCACCACTCACCACTACTCACCAGCACTCACCACCACTCACCACTACTCACCACTACACTCACCAACACTCACCAGCACTCACCACTACTCACCACCACTCACCACCACTCACCACCACTCACCACTCACCACCACCACTCACCACCACTCACCACTACTCACCACCACCACTCAGCACCACCACTCACTGCAACTCACCACCACCACTCACCACCACCACTCACTGCAACTCACCACCACTCACCACCACTCACCACTACTCACCACTACTCACCACCACCACTCACCACCACTCACCACTACTCACCACCACCACTCACCACCACCACTCACCACAACTCACCACCATCACTCACCACCACTCACCACAACTCACCACCACCACTCACCACCACTCACCACAACTCACCACCACCACTCACCACCACTCACCACAACTCACCACCACCACTCACCACCACTCACCACAACTCACCACCACCACTCACCACCACTCACCACAACTCACCACCACCACTCACCACCACTCACCACAACTCACCACCACCACTCACCACCACTCACCACAACTCACCACCACCACTCATCACCGTGGTGGCAGTTGCCGTCATTAGGTTGTTTGGTTGGTTTGTGAGAACCCTTCACCACCCGACTGAGTGGGTGAGTGAGTGAGTGAGTGGGTGAGTGAGTGAGTGGGTGAGTGAGTGAGTGAGCGGGTGAGTGAGTGAGTCGGTTAGTGAGTGGGTGAGTGAGTGAGTGGGTAAGTGAGTCGGTTAGTGAGTGGGTGAGTGAGTCGGTTAGTGAGTCGGTTAGTGAGTGGGTGAGTGAGTGGGTTAGTGAGTTGGTTAATGAGTGGGTGAGTGAGTGAGTGGGTGAGTGAGTGAGTGGGTGAGCGAGTCAGTGAGCTAGAAAATGAACGAGTAAGTGAGCGAGCGAGCTAGCGAATGAGTGAGTGAGTGAGCGAGTGATTTTGCGATCTAGCGAATGAACGAGTGAGCAAGCGAGCTAGCGAATGAGTGAGTGAGTAATGTGGCAAATGAGCGAGTGGGCGAGCGAGCGAACGGGCGAGCGAGCGAGCGGGCGAGCGAGGTAAGTGAGCGAGCAATCTAGCGAATGAACGAGTGAGAGAGCGAGTGAGTGAATGAACGAGTGAGCGAGCGAATGAATGAGTGAGCGAGCAAATTAA